TTGGGTTTTTGGCTGAGTTGTGAGAGGGTATAAATACCCCATTGCCTTCAACTCTTAAGAAAATCTAAGAAGTTTTTAAAACAAATTTTAAACAAGGGTTTAAAGTGTGTTTAAGGGTTTGTTTTGTTTGTGAAGAAGTTTTCACAAGTGGAGGAGATCATCTTCTTGTTTGGGCTTCAATCTCCATCTCTCCATCTTGTTATTCAGAGAAGAATCTCTAAACTCATTTCTAGCTATTTATTATTTTGTTTATAATTTCTATATGCTAGATTTTAATTGAGTTTAGTTTTGATTTTGATTTCACTCATTGTTTACACACACCCACTTGAGCTTATTGTATTTGCATTCATAATATATTAGGGTTGTGAGAGTTGTAACATTGAGTGTGGGCTTTTATTGTGTTCTCATCCATATTAGAGAACAATTTATATTTGTTACATTGTGAGATTGTTAGGTTTTCGGTGAGCTAGAAACCGAGTGTGTTGTGAAGTTTTCGGTGAACTAGAAAACCGATTGTGAGGAGTGACGTTGATCGGTGAGCGTTGAAAACCGATACTGTGAGGTGTAAACGTTATTCAGGTGAACGTAGAAAACCCGGTTGAGTTAGTGCATTTCTCCCCGGGAGTGGGGAGCGGAGACGTAGGACGGAAGGTCCGAACTCCGTGATCATATCGCTTGTTTGAGTTTGTCTTTGGCGTATTTGTTTTTGTATTTATTTTATATCGCCAATTGTGCATTGCTCATTCATTTTATCCACTATCTTGTTTAGATTGTTTATCCCTTGTGTTAGTTTATATATCCTTGCATATATATATTCATCATATAGGATATATCTCATTGTTCATATTGTTTATCCTAGCTTACATATCTTGTTGCATTTCATACTTGCTAGGATAACTTGTTAATATATTTTAATTAGAATTTAATCGGATTAGATTAGCATAAGACCCTAATCATCCCCCCTCTAGGGTCTAACAGTTATCAATTCCTCCATACAAATCCAGACACTTATCTCTGATTTTTAATAATTGTTTCCACATCCAAGAATCCCCCTTTCTAGCATTTACTTGACAAATACTCCTATTTTAAGGTAATTCTCATGGATCCATTTAATCCACAGTTGTTCCTTATTCATGTGAATATTCCAAAGAAGTTTTAATGCAGTAGTAGTGTTCCAAAGTTGAGCCGAAAAAATCCCCAAGCCACCATGTTTCCTTTGTACATAGACTTTACTCCATGACACAAAAGAAGTTTTGAATACCTGATCTGATTTGCCCCATAAAAAACTCCTACATTGCTCATCAATCTTGTGTAGAACTTTAACTGGAAGAATGTAGCTAGATGTCCAGAAAATTTGGAAATCCAATATGACACTTTTGATTATCTGAATTCTACCTGCATAGGACAGATTTTTATTTTTCAGACAACTTTGGAATTGATTGGAAACCTTCATGATCAGAGGATTGTAATCCAAGTATGACATCCTTTTACAGATTAGGGGAAGGCCCAGATATTTAATAGGCAGAATTCCTTCAAAGAAACCCAGTGAATTGCTAATGGCAAGCTTAGTAGCTTCAGATACTCCACCATAGAAGATAGAGCATCTTGTAGGATTTGCCTCCAAGCTAGAACAAGCTCCAAAAGATTTTACACATTGAAAGAGTTTGTTCACTGAATAAAAATCCCCTTTGCAGAAAAGAAGTAAATCATCTGCAAATACTAGATGTGTTATTTTTAGCTTTTTGCACTTGGGGTGGAATTTGAAGTTTGTATCATTCTTCAACAGGTTCAAACTTCTTGTCAGGTATTCCATACCAAGGATGAAAAGGTAGGGGGGGAGAGGATCACCTTGCCTCAGTCCTCTTTCACCCTTAAAGAAGCCATGTAAACTTCCATTCAGGGAGATAGAATAATTAGGATTAGAGATACAACTCATGATCCATTTAATAAAGACCAGAGGAAAACCCAGCCCCTTCAAAATCTCTTGCATAAAATCCCAACTTATAGAATTAAAAGCCTTTCTGATATCTATGTTGATCATAATCCTTGGTGATAAGTGTTTCCTTCCGTAATTTTTCACCAGTTCATGAGCAAGTAAGATATTATTTGAAATTTATCTACCCTTCACAAATGCACTTTGAGCTTCATTGACTATACTCCCCATAACAGCTTGAATTCTAGTTGCTAAAATTTTTGAAATGATTTTATAGAGACAATTGCAACAGGAAATAGGTCTGAAGTCTTTAATCACTTGATGGAGGGGAAACAGTTGAATTCCGAAGTGCAATGAGGGTGCCCCTTAGGTATGCCTAGGGTTTTGATACCCATAGTCCGAAAGATTATAAGGAAGTTTTCCAGTGTTGTACCCTAAAAATCATTACGTCTTTAAACTATACATGTGGCGGAAGTAATGGAACCAGACAGATGATCGAAGGAAATTTGAGCTGTCAACTCAGGTGACTCGTCTAAGCGACCCATGTTCGGGACGAAAGGCGTCCTTAAGTCGGCCTTTAAAGTAGCACCCAAGTCGAATCAAAGAACATCTTCGAGGAGAGGTCATAGAATGACTGGCGGTCTCATCAACAGTGCTCACATTTAATGGTGAATAGTACAATGCCCGTACTCCGCCACCTAGTCACTGTCACATTAATGCATGACCAAACATCTTGATGGCTCTCTGGCAACGACACCCACCATTCCGCCATTCTGTCGCTATCATATTAATACAATGAGTACAGTTCTTCACCCCGACCAATTCGTTACGGACACGTCTAAATCAATGACATAGTGCCAGATCGGCCAACCGATTAAATTACTCAATGCCAGATCGGCCAACCGATTAAATTACTCAATGCCAGATCGGCCAACCGATTAAATTACCCAAATATCCTCAATAACTTCTTATAAATAGGATTCTTTTTGCTATTCAAAGGTATGCAAAAAAAACCCTAAAGACTATATTCTGCTTTCTCTTCTGATTAACATATTAAGTGACTGAATTGAGCGTCAGAGGGCATTACGTCGGATGTTATGGTGATCCCATTCGTTCGAGTATAGTTTTGCCTCACCAAGTGTACATCTGCGAGTCCTGCCCCAATCAACTTGTTGGCCAGAGATTAGTAAGAATGACCACTCCGCCGACTCGACCACTCGACATCCTATCATGTCGACTCAAAAGGTAAAAATTATCGTCCCCTTCTGTCGAAGACGATTCGTCGCGAGTCCACTCGATCATTCACCGAACAACTCGGAAGGCGCTACTCCTCGATTAGATTAAAAGGATAAGTATTTGCCTCGGGTCTCCCCCTTAAGGCCACATGTCAGCACCACAATCAGCTCTTGACAAGTCCCATCGTGGCCTTACCCCTGATAGTCTCCATGACTTATCACATCACCTGGGCTCTGCCATGCCGCCGGATCATTCTCCTTTCGATGCTGAGACAATCTTTCCAATGCTAAAGTGATCTTCCCCCAACCACCTGCTGACACCCGTAAAAAGGATGCTGACATAACCATCAGCCCATACCTCACCGCCATTATTTCGTACTCGGCTAAAGTGTCCGATTTGCCATTCTCCCATAATATAAATACAAGTACTATTTGCCTTTAATAAGAGGAGGGGGAGCAATTCCAAAATAAAGAAAAAAGGGAGAACTCTAAGTTTTGTTGTTTCTCTTCCACTCAAGTTCATCATCTAACTTGATCGTTGGAGGTATAACGGGGGAATCAATCCTCGTCCTCTTACGAGTTTTTACACATGCAGATTGTTTAGCAACACCAAGTCAAAAAGCCAGACATAAAGTCGGAGAAGAAGGCGATCCTATCATCAATCTCCTCTACCTCATCAAAATTATTCTGTCCTGGATATGTATTGACTGTGTGATCATTAGTACATCAACACCGGATGAAACAACCTTTGGAGCCTCTAACCTCTGTTATTCTGTGTAGGTCATTGTAGCATCACACAAACTTCAAGATAATCAGCCATTAGAGGAGATTAAGGGACCCCAAGATCATCCTTACCTCTCCTAAACCTTCCACTAACTTTCTCACATAAACACCTAGGTTAAAACACACACAATTAAATTCATAAAGAGCCAAAGAGAATCAAATTCTATTCAATTTAGCATTCTATAGGATTACAATCACAGTATTCAAGCAACTCTCAAAACCGTGGGATTTTTTTCCAAAAATCCTCCATAAATAGGGCTCTTCAACCCTAATCCAAAGTTTCAACACCAACAACCCATTTATGTATCATGGGTAGGACTCCAAACACCGTACAAAACCAATATTTGTGAAAAGTAGTAGAATCAAGATGTAAACTTACCCCAACAAACATCACTTCAACATCAAAACCTACAAACACTTTCATTCTTCCCCATTTTCATATATGTAAATGTTCTGTGGATCTATGACCAACTGATCCACTGTCATTTACAATATTGACCACAAAACCAAATTTAAACAAGAAGGAAGAAAGAAAGCAATGACCGTTTCAAGTACATGAGAAAGCTCCACATACATAGTTCCTCCAACTCTTCAATTCC